TTGTCAAGAGTTCAGCGGAGAAAGATGCAAAGGAAGAAGAAAAAGCATGGCTCCGGAGTCATGGAGCGGAAAGGAGGGGGGGGGGGNGGGGGTGGGGTTGTTCTGATGGGTACACTGTACGCGATTCTCATGCAATTTTTAAGTCTGACAGGCAGCAGATCGATAACCAGTGACTTAGAAATTCAAGCAACGACACTGTATGAAGTAAAAATGCTGCGCAAGGGTGGCCTGAATTAATTTTTGCACTTTTTGACGAATTTTATGCTTTGAAGACAAAGTGGGAAGCTCTGAATGCCAATAGCTTTTGCTGAGTTATGGAAGTCCTTAGAAGAAGGGCACTCCGAGCGGGGAAAATTCTCGACTCATGCTTGGGTCCGTCGTGGAATCGCAGCTCCTGACGCTAATTGTGTCCGAATTAGGAAAATACAAAACAGTGTTAAGAACATACAAAAAATTCACGAAAGCTCCGTAAGCTCCTGTGAGTTTATATTATCCAGGTCGTTTCAATACTTCTGAAAATTTGGCAGTTATCTCTACTGACGCGGGAATCTGAGAAATAACTCACTTTCCGGTATTTGCCATGCATCTGCATTCTACATAAGTTTTTGGGAATGTTAGCCTGCCTACTCGACAACAGTCTGAGTCTTTATAATTGATTTGTGGGACTCAGCTAATGTTCGATTAGTACGAAGTTGCGTTTTTCAATCCAAAGCTGGCGCTGATCAATTGATTAGAGGTCGACTGTGAGATGATCGTTTATTAACGATGGATTGCCCCCAACCGTTTCGCTATCTCCGCACAAGACACAGTTTGCAGTTCTCACAGGACACTAACGACAAGAGGAAGTCAGCTGAGCTGTACAAAAGTTTTAAACTAAATGGAAATGAACTTCCAACACGGTCTATCGTCAGTTCAAATTAAAGTGACAACCTTGCCTATAGTTCTGACCGGATGGCATTTTAGTGCCAACCTTTCGGCTTCTGAAATGTCCTCGGAATGAGCATTACTGATCAGGTTGTAGTAGGTAGGATATGACGTACGTTTGGCTGAATTTGATTGCAAGGTGCCGTTATGGAAAAAGATGAAGGCTCAAAGGGAACTCCTGCTGATTCCAACCGTAAAATGGAACTATATGATACTATCTAATGCGCATTGGCAACAGAGGATGATCAGAATGGTTTCTCACGAGGTTCATAAAAATTCTAGATACATTGTTGCTGTTTTGCGGAATTCAAAGTCACGCTCCAGAACTTTTCTTATCTCAAAGTTCCACTGGTAGAATCGGGGAACCGACTTGATGTCCAATCTGATACTTCTTGTTTTTGGGAAGTTGGCTTTCATGAACAAAGCTAGTTTTTGTCAAGAGTTCAGCGGAGAAAGATGCAAAGGAAGAAGAAAAAGCATGGCTCCGGAGTCATGGAGCGGAAAGGAGGGGGAAGGGTAGCGGTGAGAATCAGCTGAATGTATGGGATGAGTACGATAGTAACGCTTTTGGATTATCTAGTATGTATATATATGTATGCCAGCCCGACTCCTTGTAATTGTTTTTTGAGCCTTTAGCCTCTAGTTTTGCGCGGAACCGTGGCTAGAAGAAGCAGCTTGGGATTGAACACAAAGCTAGAAAGTTTGGTCAAAGGACTTCGTTATCCATTTTCGAAATCAATCAGTTCCACTACTTGGTAAGGCTAGTGTTGGATTGAAAAGAAGCAACAAGTGAAAACTTTCCGCAAAACAATGTCGGAACAACCATCAAAGATAAGATAGATGGGCGCTCTCATGGTGGCAGGATGGTTATGCAATCAAAACAAAGCATCGAAAGTATCAAGTCATCCTTCTGAGTATCAAGTGGGGTCACAACCGGATACTTGATTACGGCCCAGACTCGCCTAGTATATCTGTGATGCCCAAGGAGTATATGAGGTTACGTTCTACAACATGAATGAGTGTACCGACCGAAAATGAAAAGACGGAACCGAGGAACCGATGCGGCTGATGATCGTCGCGAGAAATGTGAGGACTTGCAGAAGGAGTTACTTATGAAGCTGACACGTCGCCCATAGTGGTGCATAGAAACTGCGCCCGAGTTGTGTGGGCAGTATGCGACTACCGAAGGTTGAACGACCTCGGCCAAGGGAGGTGATTGAGACGTTGAACATTGGGTTATCTACTGAGACAAACCGAAAAGTTGCTGATGTGTGCCTTTAGGTGGCACGCTGGAAAGGAGACATGTCCGAAATAGGTCCAAAGAGGTCGGAGAAGGTGTCATTCTCTTCTTCCAAGGAAAAGATATGAAACGAAATAACATGGCAATCGCAGTAGCAAAGCTTCTCAACGACTTTGTTTCCACTGTCAACAGGACCAGCGGTCGGCTTGAGGATGGACAAGAAAAAGAGTACTTGGCAATAATAAATATCTGTGTACACACCGGAAGACGGCGGCTTCAATTACGAAACCGATGAGTTCTATCTGACCATGAGCCTTGATGAGGCCGGTATCTGTAGGGGCACGTTGCCGGTGAACGGAGAGACCTAATAAGAGAATATGGAGGTAGAGGAATAGCAATCAGAAACGATGAAGGAGGGAGGGTTCGCGACCTGAATACAGCCCAGCACTTTGTGGTCTTTACCACGTTCTTTAAAACAAGGGAAACTCAGTAGATAATCTACAGCAGAGGGAAGGTCAATCGGAAATCGACCCGAAAAGGATATTAAGGTACTGCCTGACAAATGATTGGCACCTCAGCACAAGCTTCTCCTAGCAGACATAGTCGTCGGACTCTTCAAGAAAACAAGGGGTGACAACAAAGAGGAGCAAAGTGCGACGTGAGTCAAAGGAAGACGTCGAACGGAGAATCTTGGACGCTGGCCTCCCAGATCCTTATGGACCTATTCCAGACATCGAGCAACGCTAAGAAGGTCTTCCTGCAGTGAGCTGGAGGATCCTCGAGGTGAATCCATTGGTAACAAGGCATCAATGTTTCGAAACAATGAAGTTCAATGTTCAAGATAAGAACATACATACAAGTCTTCAGTAGAATTCATCTTCTGCCAGCATACAAGCGCTGGCAGAAGATGAGTTCTACAGAAGACTTCGTCACCGACAGGGTCAGCAGGACCAACAGGATAAAATCATACATGATTGGAATTAATCAACTATGCGCACTCTTCTCTGTCCAACAAAGGCAATAGACATCACGTTTGGAGTACAACAGAGATCAACGCTGAGTTTGAGAGCAGAGAAGATTTTAAGACAAGTTTCGGAAGTAATTATTATAAAAGTCTTGGCGAAGAATTAGAGCCGGCTGAATGTGAAAAAGTAAATTCTTCAGCTCAGAGGGGTGCACGAAGCCAATTTTAGGCTGACTTGAGGAATATTCGAAAGAATGCTGAACTTCCTACAGTTTGGAAGCTGATGGATCTAGCGGCTGATGATAGTGTGGGCTAGGCTGTGAAAGACGGTGCATAGATGTTGTGGTGGTGGTCCATCGGTATCCTCTGCGGCCGATATGCTCCAGGGCGCTCAGGAAAACGTTAAAGTAGTGAAACCTAGGACGCTCTAGGCAAGGGCAAGAACCACGACAGGCAATTCCACTCCGAAGAAATGAAGATTTTGCCCCTGTCCTGGTGATGAAAGAGCAGCATTTGCTATGGTCTAGGCATGTACTGAGAAGGCCAAACGATCCGATAAGGGAGGCAGTAGAGTCAGAATCTTGAGGAGAGCGACCACGGGGAGCTCTAAAGGAGAACTGTCAAGATGCGATCGAGAAGGATTCCGCCGAAATCAAGGTGACAGCAGAAGATGCTGTAGATACTTCGAAATGACGGTCAACAAGAACAGCGAACCCTGCAACGGCGAGGAATCCACGTTAGGGAGAATAAGAGGAAGTCGTAAAGATGTCAGAGGAGATCTGGCTCCGCGCTCACCTTTTCAAAACTGCGGTTTTCCCCGCTTTGACGTACTCCTGAAAGACATGGACTCTACGGAAGCAGGCTGAACATGCAGCCTGGGTCATTTAACGCGCACGGGAAAGGACAATACTCCGAATTTCCCTGTGTACACAGAAGTGCAAAAGGGAATCAAAGATCCCAGCACCCTTAGCGAACGAAGATCAGGGATGCGTTGCTTCCTCCAAGGAAACAGTGATTAGTTGGGCCAGTTATGCCATTTCGTGACGATCGTTGGACCAGTACGCTCAGAGGCTGGAACCCTTGAAACGTCGAATTGAACACCAATGTGACCGCCCCAGGGTTGTCAGTTTTCTTCAAAAGAGCTCTGAACGGGAAGACTGCAGTGTATAAGGTCCCCTGAGCGAGGACAATCCACTGGATCGCCCTGGCTCGCGACGGGGACGAATCGGGACGTTACTGGCGACCGCTCGAGGAGAT